TGCGTTTCCTTGGACTAATGTCGACCTGGGGCCCACACGTCAAAATTAAACGACAAACCTTAAACAAGCGACTGAAAATATTGTACTCACATTTTTCTAAATCGAAATTTGAAGTTCGACAAAAACTAAATACATACACTTACATACTCAAACCCATCAGGACATCCTATATCCTCATCATCAGAACATATCTGCTGATTGTCAACAACATGAAAGTTGCGGCTAAATAATTAAAGAGAGAAAAAAAAATTAAAATGGCCCACATGTAAAAATGAAACGAAAGACTCAATAAACGACTCAAACTAGTTTACTCACTTTTTCCAAATCATCAAAACTAGAACTGAGACAAAACTTAATACGTAGCTGTACTTACTTAAAGGAATATGGACTCACTCCTCACTGATATACTGTACAGCTAAAAAGACTTACTTACACAAACTTCAAACTTTCCAATAAAAAATGTTAAGACTAATAACTAAAGCATCTTGGTACGTTACTAACAGAACTCTACTAACTTTCACCTCCCAACAGTTGACCAATACATGATGACTATTTTACTAAAGATTCCATACTACTTTACTTCCATACTCCTTCTTTAACAACATACGGTAAATGAATCAAGCCAGGAAAGGGTACTGCTAGCTGCACTTCCCTTCCCCATGTGAGTTTCATTGTTTTAATCAGTCCATCTGCTGATTGTCATTAATTCATCAACAGATACATGTTAATATTCCAAGCAAAAAAATAAAAAAATAAAAATAAAAAAGGAAAAAAACATATATTTGCGCATGCGTAAACGAAAGCAGTGAATATAATTCAATAACATAATCACAAGATTTCTTTTACATTAGTGCCCAATTTTCCTACAGCATTGAGCTCAATCGGACGAACAGCTATCAACAAATATATGAACGTCAAGTAAGATACATTTGCTGGAAAATATATACAGCCGACTCTTGATAATTCAGATTTTTATTCAATTAAAACTCTTCAGCTGTAGCTTCCATAAAACGAAAAAATGCAGTATTTTAATAATTGGATATTTTTTTGTAACAAGAGGGAGAGAGAACATTCTATTGTTTGAACTAAACCTCTATGTAATTAAGAATTTTCCTAGTGATTTTGTTTTGTACATAATGTTGTAGATATAAAATGTATGTAAAATACTAATATATATTTTCATAAAGATAATAAAAATTCTTAATAATTTGATTTTTTTTTTTGGCTTTCACTTGATTTCTCGATGTCTTGATGATTTGATTTTTCTTTTAGGCATTTCCTTCTAAATATATCTGGAATATAACCAAAATAATTTAAATAAATGTAAATCTGGTTCTTTGGTTTTTGAAGGTTAGTGAACTATATCTATAACATAAAGTTGAACTAAAAGGACCATGTTTAATTAATACTGGACAATTAGCAAAGTCTACCCTAATCGCGGTCTTTAATTACAAAATGGTTCCCGACCTAGCTCGGGTCTAGGGTTTTCATTTTTTCGTTATTTATGACCCCATGTTATATATTAGCCGCATGGGCTAGCTGAAGTGCACAGCTAGTGGGGATTAACGATCCTCCGGTTTCCCCAGTTCAGTACACTGCACTAACACACACACACACACACACACACACACACACACACACACACACACACTCAGAACAGTACACAATTCACGACACTGACACTAGGTCACCCGTATTATACACCTTAGAGAAGGAATTTCCATCCTTTTTACTTTCACTTATTTATATATGAAACATATAGTAAGGAAAAGTGTTACGATCGTGAAAATTTTCGAATCTCAGTTTTCAACTGAAATAAATGATTTTAGGTTTCCTGAGTCTAAACAACCAAGTCCCGCAAAATGGTTTGTGTGTCCGTGTGTCTGTTATCAGTCTGGCTCAAAAACGAAGAGTGAAAGTGAAATTGCATATTTAAGATTATTATATGTTTGAGATGTAACAGCACCTTTTTTATTTAAAAATCGGCTAACCGGAAGGGGCTCTTCACATTTTTAAGATTTACTCAAAAACTGCTCTAACGATCTTGATTAAACTTGGTGTGCGAATGTATAATTAAGTGGTCTTTAATATTATTTAGATCTTGTCCCCATTGATGTCACTTTATATAGCTTAAATGCTCAATATTCAAAGTGTCTTCCTCTAAAGTAACTTTAACTTGGTTTATTTTAAATGATTAAATATTTTTCATTGATATATATAATGAAAAAAGGCTAAATATAACTTTTGAAGGAAATTCATAATTGAATAAAAGAAAACAGGAAAAATGTTTTTTCAGCCCGAAAACGAATCTTCTGAAATAATAGTCAGAAGTTTAGTATTTAATCGTTGGGAAGGGTATTAGGAACATATATCTTGAAGCGAAATAGAAAAAAATATATAGTATAGAAAGTCATAGTAGGCAATGGAGAGTAAATAATAATTTGCAACGAATCTGCCAAATAATTTTGTGCCGAATGCTTATTGGACACTGTCTTTTTACACACCTTTCAAGAGGCCTAGAAGCTAACACTAATTAATATTTTAATAATAGAGTGTCCCCAATATGAAAATAAAAGTCAAAAATTAAAGTTGTCCACGACATTTAAGGATATTTTGGGAGACTGTGAGGAAGATGTCGTCATTCGCTTCTAATTCTAATATTTTATTTTTTTTATTGATGATATTTACAACTGTATTACAAATAAAAATACATTCAATAAATGTGAAAATGTGAACAAAAGAATATAATAACATGAAACCATTTGTTGAGAAACTACCCACTGGTAGCACTGTAAAAATGTATTTACAAAAGGAGATCTCGAGGTCATCTTCTTTTCACACACCTTTTAATTTAATTTAATTTTTAAACTTATTTATTGGAAAATATTACAATCTGTCTCAAAGGACATAGAATATTTATTTTTTTTAAAATTTATTTTAATGAAATTTATAACTGTATTACATGAAAAATACAATAAGTAAATGTGATATTGGTAACCTGACATGTACAACATGAAGAAAAATTACCCATCCGTAGAATTCAAATTAATGTTTTATATTAGAAGATCCTGAGGCCATCTTCTTTTCAGACTCCTCGGAGGGTTATCAGGGATCGTAGAGGAAACAAGGTTTAAAACGAGAGGGTTCAGATGGTTCTGCAGTTTTTTTTGGAAGGATAGGTATCTGGATTGGGCCAAATCGGAAACATATGGAACATTAAGGTCTTTATGGATGATTTTATTTGTGACAAAGTAGGGAGCGTTGAGAATTTTACGAAGGATTTTGGATTTTAAGGATTAGATACGAGAGGAATTCAATGGTTTAGAGGAGCTCCAAAGCTCCATTCCGTAAGTCCAAATTACTATAAACGACCCTGTAACTTGGAAATGAGTTCCCTAAGAGGAAAAACCCATAGAATCAAAGTTGTAGAGCATCAAACTTTTCTTCTGCTGAGTACTAACATTTTCATTGTAGGTCAATTATGTATCTCGAATCGGGATTCGTTATTCCTTTATGAAATACGGTATCTTTCAACACATCGTTTATCAAAATTCTTTACTGCTGAGAGGTGGAAAAGAGGCTTATACAGCATGTAACAGCCTAAAGAAAATAAGTAAGTAGAATAGACATCTATACTGTTAAAATATTGAAAATCACGTTTACATTCATCTTCAATTTCCAACCTTCGGAAAATTACCGATTCGGAGTAAGTCAACTACATTAAATTAATTGGTACTCATCGGACGAAAAATTTGATGCTCTACAACTTTGATTCTATGGGTTTTTCCTCTTAGGGAACTAATTTCCAAGTTACAGGGCCATTTATAGTAATTTGTGTAAGTTTTTGACAAATTTGGTAAAAATCAGCGTTGGTTGACCGTAGTTTTATACCTTAACAGGTGATTATACTATAAAGTTTATGTACTCGTTTGACGCAAAATTTAACGTTCTATAATTTATTAAAGAATACATTTTTCGCTTTGATGCATCGTTTAGGAGTTATAGATGAAAAACCCAAAAAATATCGAAAAAATCTGACTTTTTTGGCTGTAAAAAGTTTTCCCTTGGTGGCCTGCGTTAGCAATTTTGTTTTTTACATGTCTAAACCCATATACACAAGTTAAAAAAATAGAAACTTTTCGCAATGGATTTCTCGTTTCGATCCTCAAATTATTGGCCTAATATTCTTTTAATCAGCCGCCATTTCCGAAAGCAGCGGACAAGGTTTATTTTACTCAGAATAACATACACTTTCGTAATTTGCAATCAAACCTTCGCCTGCGATCAGGTCGATTTTTGGGCCCTGGCTCCAGAACTATCTGGTATGGGGATGAATATTTAATTAAAACAAAATATTAGAACAGAATATAAAAATTAAGAATCACCGTCAATCACACTCTAGACTAGATGAAAAAAAAATATATCAGATTATTTCCGAAGACTGAAAATTCCCGAATAGGTGGAAATTTAATGTGAAATAATGTCATTATTTATCGAATGTTTTTTTTTCTACAGATGGGTATTTATTGAAATAAATATTCAATATTTTATTAAGAACTTGACGTTCTGTAGCAGAAAACTGTGAAATAGTTGGCAGGGTGATCGCCGATAAAGGTTAGAGATAAGCGGGCACATGTTCGGCCACGAGTGAAACAGGTGGGCACAATGGTGCCCGCGAGCTCTGGGTTGAAACCCTCCTTCGCTGGGGTCTCCTCTCCTAGGAAGCCGCCTAAGATGAGGGAGCAGGTCTTGATGCCCTAAGAAGGCAGCTCCTTTTCTGGGGATGATAACCCACTCCCCTTAAATTACTATTATTACAAAAAACAAAAAATCTCACATCGCTTAAGCGGTGAAGAAGAGATAGGATATGATGATGATAATGATGATCTACGTAATTTTTTAGACAAAGTTCAGACTAAGAAAGTGTACAGTATCTGTATCTGTGGAATTTTAGTATCGTCAAGGAGAACAGTTATAAAAAATAAGAAAAACTGTTATCGTTACTGACCGAGGACAGTGATAAGGATGACGATGCCGAGGACGACAGATAGCGCGGCGGTGGCGATGCCCTGGCTGCCGTCGGTGTCGTTGGCGAGCTGGTAGCCGGTCAGGTTGCTCACGTCCAGGTGACTGCTGATGACCGCGGCCAGCTGGTCGCAGAACTGCCGACCGCTCCCCTGCACCGGCTCAGCGCAGGCCGCAGCTGCCAGCTCCAGCAGCCGAGCCAGGTCCCTCATCATAGCATCTGCTGCAACACAATAATAATAATAATAAGCGATAATTAATAATAATAATAACGATTGAAGTTAAAACAACAATCATTAATAATTTTTTTTTTTTTTAGCTTTAATGTTTTATTTACACCTGTCATAATGGTAATGACAACCAGTGAATGTGAGATCGATTGCTAAATATAATGTCATGAAAGGCATAAGGAGGATCAGTGCCCAGCGGCACCTCACTCGGCGTGATATCTAGATTAAACGAGGAGATCCCTCATCCAGCTCCTCTTCAGACGTTACCTGGCATATTCGTAGTGGCCATGTCATAAGTGTATTAGGATGTCCTTGTAAGTTGTCATGGAATCGTTTGTAATGAGTAAGTACGTGTTCGCTAACAGTCGGTATATGGATGTCAGTATGTAAGGTCATGTTGCTAACGTACCAAGGTGCTTTTGTAATTGTTCTGAATGTTTTTGCTTGAATGATTTGAAGTTTGTTTAAGTGAGTCTTTTTAGCAGTTCCAAATATCTGTGATGCGTAAATCCAAATAGGTTTTAGTAAGTAATTTTTTTTTTTTTTTTTTTTTTTTCCTTTTTCTCGCCTCTACCCTAAAGGGTCATTGGCGTTTTCTATGATTTATACTCTGTTATAGTAGTTTACAATTTTTAAAAAATTTAACACTATCGAGACTCTTTCTTCATTGTCTTTTAGTATTTCTTTTAGTGTTTTTCCTAGTTCTATTTTTTCTCTGAGCCTTTCGAATTGGGAACATTCTACTAGAAGGTGTTTCAGGAGCTTCTAGACCTCTTAAAAGATAGCCATGAGTGAACCGGCATAGTATAATTTCTTCACGCCTAGACTTTCTGTTGCTAGTGAGCCATTTATCGCAATTGGGTTTCACTTCTTTCAGCTTACACTCTTTGATCCTCCACTCTTTTTCCCACTCTGCCAGCTGTTTTTTCTTTATTTCGTGTAGCCAGTCTTCTAAAGTGATATATTTCACTCTAGTCACTTCCTCTTCTTCTCCTCCACTTCTTGCTAAATGGGCTGCATTGTCAGCATTTTCATTTCCTAAAATTCCGCAATGAGCTGGTACCCATACCAATACAACTGTTATTGTATGTAATTGTAGTAAGTAATTGTATGTGTTCAATTTCTGTCTAAGTTTTAGTTTTGAATTTTTTTAAAGAAATTAACTCAGAATTCTTAATCTTTGATTTAACGTTTTCCGTTTTTTTGATTATATGTGGGCCCCACGTCATTTTTCTGTCAAATGTCAGACCAAGGTAGTGAACGGTGTCTGTCTGTGGAATCTGTGCATTGTCAAGGAAAACTATTAATTATATGAAATAGACTTTTTTTTTGTTGGAAAGGTTGGACTTTAAATGTAAATAATAAGCTTCCTTGTTGATTTAAAGGTTCCAATTTCGTTTTATTGATTGAAGAACAATGCCCTATTTTAACGATTGTATGAACAAATTTTCTAAAAGAAAATTTTAAAATACCTATAATTGTTGATTATATATTCTTTTTGAGATCAGTGTGTTTCATATACTTCCTACTATCAGTTTTTCTAAGAGTAAGTTGAACATTTTAACAAGTGGACAGATGCAAATACATTTTTATAGACAAAAAGAATTTTTGAACAACTTTTTAAACAAAGAAGAACTGTTCTACATATCATGGGTGATACAATAATGATATGATAAATGAAATGTAGGAAGAAATAAAAATGTTTTTTAATGACAGCTTCCTGATTATTTATCACCCATTTATTATCTGAAGTATCTTTCTATTGGATATAGTAGTTATGTTTAAATTTTCTCTCTTTATATATATATATATATATATATATATATATATATATATATATATATATATATATATATATATATATAGATAATCTCCTTCACCTCCTCTGTAAAAAACTTAGGAATTACCATTGATCAAAACCTATCATGGAAACCCCATATTGCTCAAATCTCCAGAAGGTCAATTGATACTCTTAAATTATTTCATCGTTCTCGTCAGCATCTCCCACAATCTATCCGCAGGCTCCTTGTTTCCTCATTGATTTTCCCCTACTTTGACTATGGCTGTGTGGTATACGGTGGCCTCTCGTTGGAGCTTGAGGACAGACTGAAGAGAATCATGAACTGTTTTTTAAGATTCGTCTTCGGCACTTCGAGATGGTCTCATGTGTCCCACCTATATGCCGAGTCAAAGTGGCTCTTTGGCCCTCTTCCCGCCGCCTATACTTCCTTGGAAATTTCTTATACCAAACGATCAACTCCCAGCACCCTTCCTATATCTGTTGTCTCCTCCAGTCTAAACCCTTAGTCCACTCAATAAAAACGAGATCCCGTGTTTCTGACCTCTATATTCCATTCCACAGGACAAAAACCTATGAACGTTCCTTCTTAGCCCGCTCCGTCTCCTATTGGAATTCTTTGCCACATAACATCCGTCATGCCTCTTCCCTGTCAACTTTCAAATACCTCCTTTTCCAATATCTCCTTACATCCCAAACAGAAGATTTACCACCATAAATTTCATTTTATGAACTGAATTTGCGTGAAGTAAATAGTGGTGCCTACTGTTTAAGTTTTAACATAAAACAGCAATGATCTTTGTCACCTAGTTTGACTATTATTTTTACTATTTATTTATTTTTCTCTTCTCCTCAGGTTGTGCTTTTTTTTTTTTCGGGTATATATGTTCATATTTTATATCTTTGTCTTTATGTGTGCCAATATGAGAATGTACGTATAAATAGTTCCTTTTAGTTATTTTATTTTATTTTTTTCCGTTACACCACAAGTATCGTAAGACTTTATTTTATCTTAGTGTCTGCATATTATTATATAAACCACTGTAGATATTATTTCATTTTGTATTAAGTTAGTTTTCTATTAGATAGCCTATTGTTTATAAATTGTGTAGTTATGTATATATAAATATGTAATTTCTCTTCTTTTTTTTTTTCATCACAATTAAGTAATTTTGAGAAGATTTTATGTTCATTTGTATATATATTATTTTATTTTTTACTGGTTACATACTTTTTAAATAATGTATATAATATTAAAATTTTTATAAGTTAGTTTTTGGCCAGATTTGTACTTTACTTTGTATTAACTCATCATTGTTATTCTAAAGGGACTTAGTCACAGAATAAAGTTTAATTTTCTATTCTATTCTATATATATATATATAGAAGATACAACCAAGAAAATAAAATAAATATGAATAAAAATACCAATCTTCTTTGATTAAAAACGTCTTCTGGAGGGGTAGATAACAATTTGCGGTCTGTTGTGGCCCGAGAATAAAAATTATTAAAACAAATAAAATAACATTAAACTACTGAAATAATAGAAATATGCTTACATTTCATTAAGTATATATCAAGTTGACCTCTATACGAAAAGGACAAGCATTATCGCGAATAGATTAACAACAAAACTTGTCCGAGAATAGAATCAGAATCACTTTGAAGACAATTAGTTCAACAAGGGATAGTAGGGTATCTGGAGTTTGGTGGGAAAAATTCTAGAATTGCATGCGTAATACACCAAGGATTAGCTTAAAAAATAACATATGATTTGTGTACGGTGTTGGGTAACAGTGTATCAGCTACCGGAGTCCTGCATAGAAAACTGAGGCTTTATTTGGTTATTCCATTTGCCACTTGTCCGATCTCTCTAAGCATTAGCCTAGCCGCAACTAAATCCACGGAAGGACGCGGCGGCACCCGAGGCCGCAGTTAGCGTTATCCACAAAGGATTCCATTTATATGACAAATAGATAATAAATAAGCAAATACTCGGGTGGACATACATGCATAAAGAGGGCCGAGGAGATTTGGTATTCATGGTGGGAGGGGGCAACAATACACGGGCCTAAAGCTGCGGTTCTTATGATAAGCAGATCTTGAAGCCTTTAGCGGAAAATAGAGTCTTCGCTTGTAGGCTTGTTTTCGGTCAATGGTGTATTTTCCAATAATACGCTCACTGAGCACAACATCCGACTGTATATTTTTCTCATATTTTATATTGGAGAATGCATTATCGACGATATGGTGAATATAAACTAGTCTTCATCTTTAAACATTACACAATTACTGGCTGAATTGGAACATTTCCTTAAGGTACTATTTCCCTGGTACTGGCCACGATAGCGACCGCCTTTTTATACTGCCAACCGTTAATGCTTGTCTACTTCGCTGAAACTGTTCACCGTCGCGCTCAAATCTTTTCGATTTTACGTCATATATTAAAGTAATATATTTTTTTTTTGTTTGTGTTCATATTTTCATCCACACTTGTCCTGAGCTTAACAATAAGCAGATGTGCTGTAACTAATAAGGAAAGTTGCCATTTTAGACATGAAGAAAAAATAGTACCCAGCAGGACTTCTTTCTGGTCTTGATTTATTTCCTTAATCCAGGAAAGGAGATCTCTTATCCAGCTCCTCTTTAATTGTGTCCTCTTTGGATTGAAATGTCTGTAGTTTTTGTAAGTACGTCTTTTTTGCAGAACCGTAAATTTGTGAGGCATATATCCATATGGGTTTGAGTATGAAAGTGTATGTATTAATTTTTTTTCTCATTTTCAATTTTAATTTGGAAAAAAAGTGAGTACAGTATTTTCAGTCGCTTGTTCACAGTATTTATTTTCATTTTGACATGTGGGCTCCAGGTCATCCTTCTGACATATATTAAGCCGAGATATCGTACAGTGTCCGTCTGGAGAATTTGGTTGTCGTCGATATAAACTGGTGGGCATTTGTCTCTTTGAAGTGTAAATATTGTAATTTGTCACGATTTAATGTAATTTTACACATGAATACCAATTTCGTAAATTTAATAAGTGATTTTGTAATTTAATGACTTAAATTTAATGGTTATCATCTGTATCGGAAGGATAACATATGATTCCGTAGTTTCAAACTTATTTAATTGATACTCGTCATTTTTTTTTTTGTTAGTTATAGTTGAATAACAAAGTTATGTC